TGTGTGTGTGTGTGTGTGTGTGTGTGTGTGTGTGTGTGTGTGTGTGACAGACAGACAGACAGAGATTTATCTTTATCTTTTCCAGCTTTACTTACTCCGCTGTGGGCTACACTTTTTTAATCTGATTTCTCCCAGTAACCTGGTTTCTTGTGTGCATGTACCAGTTGTGCATGATTGCTAATACTTTATCACCCAAGACCAAGTCAGGTGTCATTTTCAGATACACCTTTACTAATCATGTTTTTTCTTTTATTTACCTCTGATTTCTTCCACATTTCATATTGTTGTAGTAAGAAAAGCTCCTTCGGAGACAGCGGACACTTATTTAAGCTGTAGCAGTAAAACCAAATCACAGAAACATATATTCATATCATCTCTGATATAATGTCCTCTCTCTTATCTCGTGTAAACAAGATTATTCTGAGACTGGAGGCTCCATGAAGATGTATTTAAATATTTGGCTGTTTCCGTTCCATACGATGGCTATGCCTGATTTTTGGGGACATATTTTGCACATAATATGTGGAAAAGCTTGAGCTCTACCCTCAAAGGTTTTGTTGGAGTTTACTGCAAACACTGCAGCGTTCAGTGTGTCATAAAATAAAGTGCTCTATACTTATTTAGCATGTGTGTTAATTAGAAATGTCTTAACATGTATTTGTAGTAATTGTTATGTATACTTGTGTAATATGAATATGAATATGAATATATATCAGAATCAGATTGGCCACTCCGTCTCAAAGTACAAACAGGAATAGACATTTAAACAACAAACAAGTTAGAACACCAAATTAGAACAAAGGTAAAGCTTAAACATTTTATTACTATGTAGACATTTAAATATAAATATACACATATATAATTAGGCTATATTATTAACAAATGAATCATAATTAATATCATGTTTACAAAAACATGATATACATAACCCCAATAACGTGTGGAAAACTATTCACAGTTGAGAGTGTCACGTTATAATGAAGTCACGATGGTTTGTAATGCTTTGAATTGACCAGTCATCACATTCTCTTGCGTCAATGACCTTTACCATCCCGACGTGTCTGTGTGAAATTCATCACAGACTTCAGAAGCACATTAAGTTTCCTGGCTAGTGAAGGCGCCACGTTCATGAAAATTCATATTGTACAGCTGCAGAGATGCTAGAGTGGTGAGATATGACTAAAACAGAGAAATTCAGTTATTACTAAACTGTAAATCCTTTGCGTCGCCAATAAAACTCAGTTTTTCTTAATAGATGCATAACAACACAACAGAGTTTTAGCTTTAGAGAATGACATTATTTACTTCCTTATAGCTGTGAAACTGTTGTTTTTTTCACTGCTCTTGTCAAATCACCCTCAGCCAAAGGGAGAAAATTGTTTAAAATAACAAACTCACTGACATTTAATTTATGCAAATATAACTCAGTGCTGATGAGGGCGCTCACACTTCTGTGTTACAGTGAGTGATGTGTAAGAAAACTGAACTTTAACTTCATCAAACTGTCGAACTGTATAACCATTTCCAGCATGTGATGTGTAAATGAACTGAATGATGCAACATCAAACACTATTTTAAAAAGTGGAATTTTAAGGATTTAATTAAGCAAAACATCTTTATCTGGCATGTTCCATAATTCATTTACATCCTTCAGTGACTTTTAAAAAGAGAGACATTTGAGGGTTTAAACATTTCAAAGGACTCAGGTATTACTGTAGGTATTAACGTTACCATCAAACATATGTATTAGTACATTGAAATGCATATTCCTATAATAAATTACAGGAATAAAGACACAAACCTCTGCGATACTCAGAGGTAAAGTACTTATATACTCCAACAACGTCTTTTTTATCAAGACGTTTCATAGGAAGCTGCTTTGGCTGTGTGTGCTTATGCAAATAAATCTTCTTAGGGACTTAACTTACTCTCACTGTACGTTTGTGATAATTCAGTTTCAGGGCTGCGATAAGGAAATAAACTGAAAACTATCCTCCCGATTAAAGACGTCAGATGGCAGGCCTTATTTAAATTTACACTTGATTTGCAATTCCGTTTGAAATGTGCCACTTTAAATGGAGAAGGATACAACTGAACTGAACTGAGGCAGTAGTACGATGCTCAGCTTGTCAGTGATGTGCACACATTAAATTCACATTCATGTTAAACCCATTTTAAAACTATTAAGAAATATGAGTGTGTTATAGGTTGCCGGTAAAAAAGAATATTGCTGCATGTATTTACTCCATGCAAGTCATGCATCTGTGCATTCACACAGACATTTTTGCAGCCAATAGACAATTTCTTCCCAATAAGTTCATGTTCATGTCAGAAACACTGGTGCACATAAAGGCAGAGTGTTACAGTTTTCATAGTGTTCTGTGCTCGACTTCAAGCTGTGTTATTTGAGCTTCAGCAGAACAAGCTGTTTACACAACATTGACATATTGTTACTTTATAAAGTTGTCAAATGGAAAACATTGGCCTTCATTTGGAGTTGTGTTTCTGGTCACCTGATGAATGTGCAACCTCTTTTTAGCTCTGCTTTGGTCTCCGTCATTCCCTGAGGGAAATAATTGACTCTTAAATTGTTAAATGCTCCACTGTGTTCACCAGTTGCTAACTATGTCAGTCTGCTCTTTAGGGCTAAGCAGGAAGTGTACAGTTGGTTTATCGGAGATGTGTTGCTGAAAAGAACTGCCTGCCAAACAATACAATTGCAGGCTATAAAACCAAGAAAAGAAGCCGAACGACCTGAAATGTTTTGTAGCGCTCAGGGGGAACTTCAGAGTTGGATGATATGGGTTCATCCCTACGGGTGACCTCTTTCACATTACACGTAGTCAACAAATCCTTGATATTAAACAAGAGTAAGAGCCTCCAGCCATGCTAGCAGCTTTGTGATGTTGTCCTTAGAAACAGCAGTGCTTTGAGCTAAATACTAGACACTAACATTTGCTATTCAGTAAACACAACAGTACAACTGAGGCTGATGGAAATGTCATTGGTTTTGCATGTATTTGGTATTTGGTAAGTTATAACTATTCATCCTGAAGGGAACATGAATGAATCAAATTGTATGGCAATCCACCGAGTAGTTGTTGAGACATTTCACTCACAATCACAAATGTCAACCTCATGGTGGCACTAGGAGAAAAGACAGAGGCTCGCCAAACATCAGGTGGGTTCATCTTCTGTGAACCATGACTGAATGTAAAAAATGTCATTGCAATCTGTCACAGTTTTTGAGATATTTCAGTCTGGACCAAAGTGGTGGACTGACCGTCCGACAGACAGACAGACAGACAGGCAGACAGACAGACAGACAGGCAGACAGACAGACAGGCAGACAGACACTGCTAGGAGGGCGAAAAACATTGATTAGAGCAGCTTTGAATATGTGCACACTGGACAACAATGTTTAGACTGAAAGTGCATTTTTGATCTACATTTTGTCAAACAATGAGATTTTAAATGAGAATATTCTATCACTAAAGGACGCGGGACAGAAATCTATATTTGGACATCTGCAGACAAAGACAGATTGAGATTTCATTCCAAAGCAAAAGGATCATTTCTTCAGAGCTAATCAGTTGCTTGCAGCTGATAAAACTGAAGGCATCCATCATCAGCAGCCACTTCTACACTGATGCGCTCATTAGACAGCTGTGATACAGGACCAGAGAAGAGGGAAGAGCAGGCCATTAGCATGTCATTTCCCAGACAGGAAGGAAGCTTTCAGACTTACAGGATGAGGGGAAAGACCAGGGCACACTAGCCTTTATATACAGAGACTGAAATAATTCTTCCTCTCCTCCTGCCAGCATTGGCAGTGACAGAGGAGGAAAGAGGCCTCTCCAAACAAACTCGAGCAAATACATCGAGCTTAGGTTAATAAAGAACTTCTGTAAAAGCCTCAACAATGTCCTCAAGTCTGTTTTTAGCTGATTGAAAAATATAACAAGTTTGAGATGTTGTCCCTTCAGATATTTATCATACTTAATCATATTAAAGATGTGATTTAATAGCACGCACATACAGTACTGACTCCAGTTTGCCAACATCCTCAATGAAAGAAAAAAAAAACATCTTTTCCAGGCGGCTGTCCCACTGCGGCTGAGTTTGTCAAGTGACCATATGTTCACATGTTGCTTTTAGTTTGGTTGCATTTGACTTCGTAAAGGGGTTGTGTGCTTACTGGGAAAAGTGCTGCCTGAATATTTGATGGTATAAATATGGGAAGTGGTTTGTAATGGTCCCTGGAGGCTCTTCAGAATTCCACATAATGTCCTCGCCATCTCTCCCATGTTTCCTCTCAGTTTGTGCCCGGGGCAAGAGAGCTGCTGAATGTTTTCTATACACCTAAACCACATGTTTAGCAAAACATTCACTATTTTAAACATTATTGCACCTAAAAGCATGACGGTTGATCAAAGAATGATTTCTGGAGTTCAGAAGAACCAAAATGTTTGTTGAACAATTAATACCTCATTAATTTTATAACTCAAGAGCTGCACTAATCACTATTTATTAAATGTCAATGGAAAACTTAATCTTTAATGCGAAAGGGGTTGCTCATAGTAATGAACTTGCATGTAATGGTCTGAAATCCCCATGAGCTCTATGCAGTGTTTTGACATCTTTTAACCCATTGTTTTGGTTTTACAGCATCTCTACAGATTTGATTCGCTCTCATTGGCATCATTTCCAGCAGCAGGCAGCTGTTTTTAGCCAAAGCGCTCTATTAGCCCTCTGTTCACTGCATGTCGCAAGACAGACACAGTTAGCCACTAGCTGGTGAACTTAGTGGAGCATTTCGCAACTAAAGAGGTTGGTGGAGACCAAAACAGAGCTAAAAGTGAGCAACATTTCGCGATCTGTGAAGATTCTAAGGCAGAGGTAAAGTAATTTCCTATAGTTATATTCCCTGTAGATTAGAAAAGAATCACAGAGGCCGGAAGGTTCATGCACACTAAGTAGCTTCCTGTTTATTTGCATACATGTACTGTATATAAATGTGCTCACGACAGACTGGAGCGACGTTACCACATGACTCTTTTCACTCGAGGTCTCTATTTGGCCATGTTTTGAGCCAGGATTGCAGAAACGGCTAGTCTTGAAATAACAACAGTATCACATAATCAAATGCTGTATTAAACTTGCGAAGCTGACACTACACTGATACTAGGAGTACCACTGAGGCCAGGGAAGTCGCATGAATACCTTGTGCTGTGCTGAGCAAAATGTGCACGTGAATTATCTCTTCAGTTGCATGAAATCATCTTAACTCTGGACAGCCTCCAGTGACAGAGAGCCTTTTGGATGTGGTGCCCAATTAGTCAGCTTTTCAACATCAGCCCACCACATGCCAAACATTGACAATCAAAATGTCAGCGACAAAAATATCTCCCTTGCAAAAGGATCGATGAAATCTGCTGAGTGAAGGGATGAAGCCTACAAAACTGCTTCGCTGTCACTATGGACTGTTTTGTGCTTCTTTTTTCTCAAGACCATACTGCAGAGGTATGTGCTGGTTCCTGTTTCTCATCAGGGTGGCTGTCAGATCCCACCATGTGGATAACCCCACCCATCTTAAACAAAGCTTTGCTTAAACTTCCCCTTTAAGTGCAGAATGGCAACGTTTGATTTATGAGTCTTTTCCTCCGTAGTTGCCAGTTGTAGCTGAGCCACAGAAAGAAGGCTTTAATTAAAGGGATTATAGGCCTGTGGTAAGAAGTCACATGACAAAACTATACTTCTTGCACTAAAAGCTTTTTACCCACAACCCTCTACTCTTTAAGGGCCATTGTGTAGCATTTTGGGGATCTATAATTAAAAATGTTATGTAATATTCATAACTTCATTCGTGTATAATCACCTGAAGCTAAGAATTGTTGTGTTTTTGTTTGCTTAGAAAGAGCCCTTCATATCTACATACGGAGCAGGTCGTCTTAATGGAGTCATGTTGCTATAGTCGTCCAGAACAGACAAACCAAACACCGGCTTTAGTGAGAGCCTTTCATGTTTTTACATCACCTGAAGGCCACCGTAGATCTCTGACACGCTTGTGAAACTGCGTAACGGAGAAGTAACTGGAGTTTTGACCTCTTCAAACTTGTTCATTCTACCACCAGACATATGAATAGATGAAAAATACAATGATTTTTTAAAAACAAATATCACATAAAAACATGTGCAAGTGTCCCCTGAGGGCAGGCAAAATGAGTGTGGGCTCAACTGTAGTACATTGTGGGAAGAAAATGATCCAGAGGCATGTGACTGCTGCTTAAGCTTTTTTTTCTTCTTTTTCTTAAACTTCTTAACACAAGATATACAGTGTACAATAATCTTAGGATAAGCTGTTTAACTAACTCTGAATGCTAGGGTTGGATCTGTTTGCCTTCAGCCTTGTGACACCTCAATTTGTATTGCAAATTATTCTGCGACAATAAACTTCAGGGCATTTTCAGGGGACATTTGTATATTTCTGGATCACATCATCCATCCATCCATCCATCCATTTTCCTCCGCATATCCGGGGTCGAGTCGCGGTGGCAGCAGGCCAAGCAGGATCACGTCATTACAAAGCTAAAGAAGTTCATGAGGCTCATGAGGTCATAGAAGCTTGTACAGTCAACAAAGCCCCAGTGCAGTCGCTCCAGGTTGTACATGTTCATGACCTCATGGTGGCTCAGCTCTGTGGTTTTTTCGCTTTGGGAGCAAGTTGTTCCTGTTTGCAAATATTGTTTTGACAGACAAATACAGGCAGAAGTGAAAAGAAAAAAAATCTAGTCAAATTCTGACCGAAATGTCCTGTCGACTCCCCGGGGCTATCTATTCTGTTCTGCCATTGTTTCCATCTCACCCCACTTGTAACTCTAAACTTTTTTTTTGTTTGTATTTCCATGCTCAGCCAGCCCACAGTGCTTCTTCGTCGCTCACTCTTTGTTTAAATGCCACCGGACTCCCTGGTTCTAGTAGTTTTGCATTTTTCCTCCCAGTGAACGCATTCTTGTGTCACTCCCATGAAGCAGGTTGGGCTGGTGTTTAAAAAGTCCTGCACAGAGACGTCAACAAGTATGTGCTTTTGAGAATGCCACCTTGGCTGGGTGGAGTAAGTTTTCTGTAAATCTAATGTGGTTTTTATTATGACGTGTTTCAGGAAACATTTAGATGATTGGCTGAGTGGATAGCAGTTTCATGAGGTGAGGTTATATCTGGAAATAAGCACATGCATCCCATGGCGTTATTTAAATGGGGGAGGAAACTGGTCCATGTTGCTTTTTACTTGCTATGTTTGAAATCTTCTCCCCCAGCAGCAGAGGTATTACTCTATTTTAAAACCACAAGCTGCCCTCTGTATTGATATTGGTGTAAAAATAGACAGCAGAGCGGCGGCATGAAATGGTTTAAAATCTAGAACAGACAGCAGCACGCTATATTTAGACAGGACACAATCGGAAAAAAAGTGCCGCGTGACATTTTGGTCGCTCCCCATTGAAGCTGCAAATGCCATTTCACTGTCCTTTAGTTCATGCAGTATTTATGTGCCCCTTAACATCTCTGCTGATATCTGAGGAGAACATTAACTTTGAGGTGTTATTTCACTTCTGGTCACTGCGAGTGAATGCAAGTAAATGGACTATGGCACTAAATATTGGGAGGCACTCATTGAATCTGACCACACCATTACTCTTCCTCTTGTCAGTGTTATAAGCAATGAGGGACGAAAACTCATTGAGAGAAGAACAGTGGCTCATAACGTCTATAAAGTGCCACAATGTGAAGATGTAAATCAAACACTGAACACAAATGGCTTCTTTTTACATGGCATCATTCCAGCAGATGAAGTAGCATTGTAAAACTCTGTCTTTGTTGTGCTGAAAGTGAATACGTAAGTCCTCCTGTAAGTTATCTTAAAGGAGACTCGACAACACAGGAAACATGTTGGGAGTTTTCGCAAGTACAAAAAATGATTATTGATATTAATAAAACAGCTATTACCACAACACACATGCACAAAATAATCACATCACTCTTGAAACTATAAGTTTATTTATCTTAATACTGATCAACAATCAATAATATTATAAATCAACAAACATCTATTATACAACGACAAGCATACTAAACCTATAAGCAACAAACAAGCACATGGCGAGGGGTGTGTGTGTGTGTGGGTGTATGTGTGTGAATGTGTGTGTGTCTGAATACGTTAGTAGGAAAAGAAGAGGAAAGCACTAAAGGCAAAGTAGATCTTCACCGCAGCCGTAAAGTACAGTAACTGCAACTTTATCATACAGAAGCCCGACTGGTGAACTCAGGTTCGGCTGACTTTACTCTTGGTGGCTGATCCAAACACAACGAAGCAGCGGTGTGGGGCGACACTATTACATACAGCACCAACAATTATATTTACAGCACTGAATGGGACTTGGCGGTCCGTAAAATACACACTAGCACGGTAACAGTGAAGTTAAAACTTGAACAGACAAACAAGGTTACAAACACGCACTGACATTTCTCTGCCCAGACACCAGCCTCTTACTTGAGATCACTTCGTAGCTATCGGCGTGCATTCTTCCGTCTTCCGGACGGCAGAGTTATCCAACCAATGACAGGGGACCATGACGCTCTGTCGGCGGGTTAAACGGCAAGCTGGTCCTCGTGTGGCAGCGGGGAAAACAACGGATGCCAACTTGAAATATCCGGGAATTCCTAATCTTCCTTCCGCAGGTGATGTAAAAAAACTCTCAGAATTATCCTTCTCTCTTCCAGGATCCAAGTGTTTGTCAACACAAAAACAGTTCCAGTGGGTTTCGTCCAATGAGGCACCAGTGTTGTGGCTTAAGACAAATCTCACACTCAGGTGAGATTTTGACGCCTGATGGGGGGTTTTGGCGCAGTTTCATAGTCTAGGCTTTTCTCTTTTCATGTAGGCCTCTCTCTTTGTTTCCCCCCACATGTTGAAGTCCCAACAGCAGTATCTATGAGTTTAAAAAAAGCCCCGTCCTCTGCAGAGGCCACTCCCTCCAGGGGAAATTCCAGCTCAGCAGCGCTGCACGTCTGAATGATGCAGCACCCGAGGCCAGAGTAGCTGGGCATCTGTCTGACAGAGACAACTTTGGGCTCAGAATTAAGAAGGACGCTCTCACTGTTTGAACATGCAGTGGAATTCCTAAAGAACTGGTTTCAGTCTGAGGCTGTCAGAAATGAGAAATCTGCAATCTGAAATGAAATGAAATCTGAAATGAAAGCTAGGGATAACTTCAGTTAAAACCATTGTTTTCAGGTTGAATAACAATGAAAGTATTGATAGTGATCATTTTTATTTGTATTTTCCATTCTGAGAATTGTCATAAGAATAAGGTAGAATAGACAACAACCACTCTCATATGCTTTGAAAAGAGCCAGGCAAACTGTTCCCCCCTGTTTTCAGTCTGTCTGCTTAGCAAAGCTTAAGCTAAACTATTCCTTTAATTAAAGCTACTACAAGGATCTTTCAACTATGAAACAGTCTCAATTTTATGCATTTTAGTACATAACCAAACAAGATGCTATTTCTACATAGTTTTTCTTAATCCGCGTCTTATTCCCTGCAAAATGAGACGAAGAGATTTACAGCACGTAGTCCAGACCATGCAACCTATTGTCACGGCTGTGACCGTGCCACTGCAGTGTCTCTTGTGTCTCTCCTCCGGCTGTGTTTCCAGCTCTCCTCAGTCTGTTAGCGCGGGCCTGACTCCCTTCCTGGCACTCTCCCGGCTTTCTCTTGATTACAGCTCACTCACCTCACCTATCTAGTCTGCACAGCTGCCTTCCATCTACACAGCAGTATACTCTGGTTCTCTGATCTCCAGATCATTTAATCAGCTGCAGAGGAAGTGCATGTCCTATGCTGCTTTAATTGAGCGTTCAAAATCATTTCTAGAGTTTATTCAGATTTGCTTCTAACCTGTGTGCCACAGGATCACTGCCTGTCTGACAGCCTATAGTTCTTCGCCACACCCTGACATCTCCTTCGCTCTGCCTCATTTCATCAGGCCTCCGCTCCCCTCTGCCTCCACCAGCCGGATTTTCCCCCTTCATCAATCCTCATTCTCTGCAACCAGTCAATAACTCTTTCTTCATCATTTCACCTCTCGTCATTGTCCTGCGTTTGAGTCCACTATACTACACCATTACAATGTTTACATTTTCACAGGAAAAGTTCCACAGTGAGTGGCCAGTTAAAATGAAGCAGGAGGAGATATTTTTTTTTTTTAATAATTTCATCTTTTACAACATATTTTGCTAATACTGGCATCAGCAAAGAGAAAAAGAAAAGAACTGACTGAAGAACTAAATAAAGCTAAAACGACAGTGATGGAGCACAGTTCTAACAAGAGTCAACCTTGTTGGTCATTCAACAGATGGTGAGAATTGCAGGAAGTGAAAGGTTTCAAAACCAATCCTAAATTTGCCACTCTTCCACTTTTAAAAATTTAAAATAAAATGTTTTATTTCTGAATAAACGGTTTTACATCAACGATATTACACTGGTGGCTAGAACACAGCTAGGTAACGCTTTAGCTAACATAGGTTGAATGTAGCAAACGTTAACTGGATGTGTTGCTCAATGCCAGCACCGCATAGCTTTCTGTGAATATGAGCATGATGACCGACATGCGCAAGGCCCTCGACAGTACCTCTGCTAACAGAGAAAGTTGCGTCTTTCTTCCACTCGCTTCCGAAACAAATGCATGCGCTAGTCAGATCAAGATCTTCATGACGTGAGGCAGTGGTGCTCATGGGAAAATGCGTTCTTCATTCAGGAAAAACGCTACCGCTTTTGTCCACGGGGGCCGCCAATATCAACATTTAAAACTTTAAAACTTTAAAAATGACAGGTACGATTTATATCTGCATTTTTTAAGACCATCTTACATCTTTGTGTGACATCAATTTGCAAAGCACAGACTGACTTCAGTCAACTTGAAGGAACCCAGGGCCTATATTATCAATACAAATTGAAGATATAACTGGATTTGACAGAAACACGAACACAAGAAAGCATCTTTATGATGCAGACGCAGCTTCAACAATTACCAACGATGACCATTGTGTTTTTACAGAAACTCACACAATCCCATTTCCAATTAAAGCTGTTGATGAGTTCACAACTGTCGCACAAAGGTCCCTCTGCACTGTTCCCTCTGCCCACATCCTCCATTTCCATGACAACCACTGTGGCTTAAGAGAAAGGCTGAAGATTTTCGGAATGGATGCGAAGATTTAACGACAGATGAGAAGAGGACTGTCAAACAATAATTTGACTTTCTTTGAAAAACTACAACTCTAAAAGACAAGTTGCTGTTGAAACATCCTCAGTGATTTGAATAAAGACAGAGCTGCAGATGTTCCCTTTCAACGTCACATTTGAATTTGTGCTTGAGGTTTCAGTGGTAGAGACAGAGACAGAAACTACTCTTGACAGCTGCAGGTAACAGACAGACAAGGAGAGACTGTCCTGAGCCTTTCACTCGAGGTGGAACCCTGTGTGAGACCATAAGTGCATTCAACAATGAAAAATCAGAGACAGTTTTGCTTTGTGAAAGTAATGGTTTATGGCTGTTTTACACACTGGAACTGTACAAGAAAAATACTGTTTTAAAGGAAACAATTACACATAAAAGGTTCCAGTCAGAGTTTTTCATTCAACTGGTTTTGTCATTCAACTGTACATATCCATGTATTTTAAGACTGACAAAACCGCTTTTTACAAAACAAAATCCAGTGAATACTCCGGGATTTGCAGCTCACTTGATGTTTCTAAGGATACAGGATCTAGTTTCTTCAATGTCACATAATTTAAACCATAATGTCGTAAAAGCAATACTGAGAATGTGTTCAGCATCAGATCCAGTAGACACCAGTTGAATCAGAATGCACTATGCCATTATGCGTCTGCAGTGTGAATTTAATTTACACAATCAGAATATTGATGACACGACTTGAAGTGCAACATAAATGTCGCCTCATGTACTCCATGATGGGCTTTCTAAAATAATTTCACTGAAAAAAGAGCTAGATATTTTTTAGCAAAGTTGAGCTTTTATTTGGTAAACATTGTGAAATAAGTCGTGCGGGCACGCTTTCTCCGAAAGTTCAAGCAGGAAAAGTTGCCTCACAGCAGCATTGTTTATGCTCCCAGTTATGCCTCAGACTCCCATTTCCCAGTTTCTCCCAGTAGACAGGCTGGGCTTCTTTTCCACGGTCAAATCCTTTAAATAGCAGCTGTTTCAGAGGGCAGAACAATAGTCTGCAGGGTTTTCCATTCATACATTCCTGGCACGGGTCTGAGGCGTCTCCGCCCACTGCCTGTTACTACCTGACTCATGTCCGTGCACGTCTACTTTATGTAAACAGTGCTGCAAACACACACACTGACACTATGATCACACACGCATTTCTGCACTCTGTTTTCCATTCTGTTTTTTTTTAAACTGATGTGAAGGAACAATTTAATGTTTCCGAGCACCAGAGTCGCTTTAGAAAACCTCTCAATTCACTGTAGCAGGGTCCGATAGTCTTCCCCGCTCACTTCTGGTTCTGGTTACATTGATTGATTCATTTTCACTTTCTTTTTCTTGTGAAATACTGGCCTCCAAATGAACTAGAAACTAGAATTACCACCTTGTGGTTGATTGCCTCCGTCAAGTTGCAGTTTACATTCATGTCTGTCTAAAATGTCATCACTTCATCATTTTATCCAATTAATCATTTGTGTGAAATTGTCACAATTAGCAAATATTATTGAGTCATGAGTTATGAATAACCTAACCTTTGACTGCCAAAATCTAAACGGTTCATCCTTGAGTCCAGGGAGACGCTTGTGCCAAATTTAAAGGAATTCCCTTTTGGCGTTCCTGAGCTATTGCGCTCATGAGAATGGACCTGATGAACAACCCAAAAACATAATGCCTCAGGCCACATGGCCATCAACATGTGATGGGGGTGTTGCGATGCACTGGTTCATTTTAAAGCTTCTACACACCTGTGAACCTCCCACAACGGTGTTCTCACTTGCCTGATTGGACCTCGATCATCTCAGGACTGTGTGGCTGCATACAGACTGTTTGATTGCCGTCTCCCTGACTTTCGCCTGTTGCGCCTGTTAACACCCAGGCAATGACTGAGTCCTCATGAAAAAGGCAGTGCTAAAGAACAAAGCTGGCTAATTGGACACATGTTGTGCTATAACCATGAGACTAAAACTGTAAGAACTGTACTGTAAGAATCATGGTCATGATAGTGCCATTTCAAGGTGTGACTGAGCGCTGTATACCATTATTTTTTAAGACACAGTTTCAGTATGTTTAAAGTGCCATAAACAATAAAAACATGTACCTTCTCTGATTTTTCATTGTTCACTGCACTTTTAGACCCACACAGGGTTCCACCTCCAGTAAAAGGCTCAGGACAGTCTCTCCTTGTCTGTCGTCTACCTGCAGCTGTCAAGAGTAGTTTGTATGTCTGTCTCTACAACTGAAACCTCAAACACACATTTTAAACTTGACGTGGGAACATCTGCAGCGCTGTCTTTATTCAACTCACTGAGGATGCTTCCACAGCACCCAGCTGCCTCCAGTTCGAATCAGCTGTGTAGGTGTGCAGGGCTTTTAGCACTTAAGTTAAAGCATAGCTGCCTTCAGAGGTCACTGTCCTGAGCTCACACGTCACTATTGCAGGTTACGTGGTTTAGGTCGGTTTCAAACAATTTGAAACTAGCATGTGGCTCAGACCACACTGGATTTACATTTATCATAAGGCTGTTCCTTTAGCTTCCAATATTTACATACTTCAGCTTTGGCGCATGAGAGCTCAGTGGGATTTTAAAAACTGTCAGCTTGACAGTCAATGTTTTGCTTCTCCCAGCAGGCTGAACGTAGGAAGCAGCATGCAACGGCGCAGGAAGGATTTCTGTGCGGGAGTGTGTGCTGGTCGAGAGGGAGGGAGCGTCTACGATTGATGACCATTTTGCATTGGACACATGCCAAAAACCCAGTCTGACAATGAGGGGGCCGCCCTGAATCACAGTTGACAGTTAAATCATGCAGTGATCATTTCTCGTTTTTATTCTGGGTTCAGTGGTTGTTCTAACATGAGACAGTTTCAGGTCCTCTGGTTTACTATGAACTGGAACTGTGAGTCGAATGGACAAAATTAATGTTACACAATTATATTGTATAGCTACCACAGAATCATCTTGATATTGATATGAGATATTCTTTTACTACAGTTATCACTAAATCCATCTTCATTATGTTGACTCAAATGTTGTTTTGTGATTTACAAGAGGAAAGTGATTCGTATCAGTAAAAGGATATGTTCTCATGTATTTAAGATCTCAGTATGTATCTTGATTAACTAAACTAACTCAAATGGCAAATAGATATGAAAATAGATTTAACCTCTAGATGTATAATCTTATATGTTGCATTTCTTCGGGAACTTTAGTATTGAGTATATCAATTAACAGGTCGAACAAGGCAATAAAAGACAATTAAATTAACCAAGGAGTAGTAATGGTTATATAATGAATATATTAGTCTATAAATTGTCAGAAAATAGTGAAAAATGTGCCTCACAGTTTCCACGGTGGTGTCCCCATTTGTCTTGATGTGTCCTAAATCCTTAAATATTTAGTTTACAAAGACAAAAACAGCAAACCATTATATTGGAGATGTGGGAACTACAGTAGGGAATATTTAGCTTTTTTGCTTGTAAAATGACTCAAACAGTTTCCACTTAATATTCTGTCAATTGACTAAGTCGTTAATCAACTAATCAATTCAGCTCTAAGCATTGATCTGAATCCTCCATCACCGTCTGGTACGCTGCAGCCACTGCCAAGGACAAGGGCAGACTGCAGCGTATACATTCGCTCTGCTGAGAGGGTGATTGGCTGCAATCTGCCATCCCTCCAAGACTTGTTCGCCTCCAGGACTCTGAGGCGGGCAAGAAAGATTGTAGCTGACCCCGCTAACCCTGGACTCAAACTGTTTGAGTTCCCTCCCTCTGGCAGGAGGCTGCGGTCCATCAGGACCAAGACCTCACCCCACAACAGTTTCTTCCCATCTGCAGTTGTTCATCAATAAATCAACATCTCCAGGACAATTTATTACTGTTACACACTTTTCTCTATTAATATACACTTGACACTTTAATAGTATACTTGTTTTAACATACTCTTATTTGTTTGTTTGCCATATTTTATTGTAAATGTTTATATTTTCTATTTTTCCATTACGTTATACTATTGCACTGTGTTTTACTGTTATGCACCAAATCACCGAGCCAAATTCCTTGTATGTGTAACGTCCTTGGCAATAAAAGGTTTCTGATTCTGAAATATCTAATAATAACCTTATAAAATGTCTTGCATGTTAACTTCTGACCAGTTTTTAAATGTTCAGTTTGGTTCAAAAACATATTTCATAGTTCAGCAATTACCAGCTCATCTCCTTGACCTTTACATGTCCTCATGCTGCTGTTTTCAAAACAGAGCAAACAGCTGCAGAAAACCCTGCAGCCTTTACACAAGATTTGTTTATCATCCTGAGCAGTTCCACCCCGTCATCATCATCATATTATTATGTGGTTGTATTACATCATAACCAGCACAATACCTCATCCCAGACGTGCTGACAACACGATAATCCCATAATAAATGTTGGAAACATATCGTGCAAACATCACATCTCCCGCTACAACTTTACCAAAGTGCTGTTAAAGGACAAGAGCTGCAGTTATAATTTGATTCATCAGCAACTATTTTAATAAATGATTGAATGTTTTGATAAATACTAACTCTCCTTCACTTTCTTGCCAGTTTAGCTGAGAAGATTGATACCACTCTCATGTCCCTATGATAAATATAAAGCTAAAACCAGCAGCTGGTTAGCTTAGCTTAGCATAGAAACTTGGCACATTATGGCAATAATGTGACGGGCCATTTTTTGGTTTGGATGATGGTTTGGACAGAGCCGGGATAGTTGTCCCCCCCCCCTATTTCCAGACTTTATCCAATATTCTCATCAAACTCTGAACACGAAAGCAAATAGTATATTTCCCAAAAATATTTCTTTAGAAAGTCCAAACATTCGATTGTTCAAGCTTCTCAAATGTGTGTGAGAAACGTGTGTTTTCCTTTTCTTAACAATATAGTAAATGAAACATCTTTGGGTTTTGGACTGTTGGTCAGAAAAAGCATGACAGCTGAAGATTATCCTGGACTCTGGGGAATTGTAATGGCCACGTACCACATTTGATAGATCAAAAGACTGATTAAAAAGGTAACTTTAAAGCTACCAATGAGAAAAACAAGTTGGTTAATAATATAGTTGTAGCCCTAAGTACTGTTACTGTCTGCACACAACGTATTCATTGGTGGTTTTCATTAGTCATTCATTGTCATGTTTGACTTGTTAATGGAGATACTCAGGGGTAATTTTAGCTATTGGTTTAAGTGTGTCCGAGATGACACAGACCTGTTTGTTTCAAACAATGGCGTTTCCTAAAGACATTAGCGTAGATGCTGCAGGAGCATCAGTTATATCTGAGAGAGTATTGCTTCATTGAAAGAAGAGCAAAAACAGCACCGTAGGCCTTTCTAAATGGAAAACATGTTTTTACCTTCTTCCAGACTGACTTCGCTAAGAGTTTGATCGACAGACGGTTGATCAAATCACCAACCAAGTTCATTTTTTTACAGTGCCCTTTTCCAAACAGTTAATGAGGGCTTCTCAGATCGTTCTGTGTGTCAAACCATCTGGCAGGTCAGGTTTTATGCGGCAATTACATTGGAGATCAAAACAGTTGTCAAATAATTTTGTGTTGAGACTTAGTGATCGATTTAGCGACTAGCCTCACTTATAGCTTCAGCTAAAAATAATCCTTAATTGCAGCCCTGAGACTCAACAATCATCACCACAGATAAAATCCCTGTAGTTTTGATGAGGGCAAATTATACATCAGAAAATAGCAGTGAGTCACTTTAAACACCACACACACACACCCGGTCCGCATGGGACTCCTGTAGTGATTTTTCAAGTCGGAGGCAAGTTGAGCAGACTTGTGATGCTGCCACGCAGCGCCTCTAGGGCAGTGCACGTGCTGACAGAGGAGAGAGGGAGGTGGGAGCGCAGAGACAGAGAGCAGTCATTGTGCGTGAAGGACCATGACAGTCCGGAGCGGCAGGAGTTAGGAGAGAAGAAGAAGAAAAGGAGGAGGAAGAAGCCTTCGACCGGGACCTTCCCCTGCTGCACCTGAGACCCACAAAACCTCCCGCTACGGAAACATGCGATTTGACAGAGATTTGCGCGCGCGTAGTTCACTTTTTCCTTCGCGAACACCTTCAGGGAGTTCACATGTTCCTGCGCGTCGACGAAGAGGCAATGTTTAAGCGCAGACTACCGGCAGAGCCCCGCGGAGTTTGGACGTGTGTTTACGTAGCTTGACAACGTGTGCGAAGACGAAATTAGCGACAAGGAGCACCGCGAATGTAGTCTTCAGGTGGGGAAAAGCGAATCGCTGTGCCTGCCCGGTGTCTTCCCCTGCGGTCCACCCTCCCGTGTGTTTCGGTTTCCCCGCGGGTTCCGTGTGGGTAAAGTGAGGCGAGGATGCAGGTGAAGAAGCACCGAGACTCGGACCGGAGCGGCGGGGACATGCTGGAAGGAGACGGCCTCCGCAAAAACGTCTCATGCTTCTCAAATATCAAGATATTCTTGATATCGGAGTGCGCCCTCATGTTGGCTCAAGGCACCGTCGGAGCATACCTGGTGAGTGCAACACGAGCCGAGCTCATCGCGCGGGACTCGCGCTGCTACTGTGGGTCATATTCAGACTTTTGTCATCCGGGTCTGGGCTGTTTATTTTTTGCATTTGTGGTTTCTGCTGCTCGGCTCGCTTTAGACTAAATGACACGTAGCAGAGAAACCGCGGGATGTAGAAACCTCTCTCTTTACTGTAGAGTACAGTCTGCAGGGCATCTTTCATGCTGCTCAACTGTCCCCTGTTTGTTGTGAGAAAATATGCTGCTTTTGTGCCATGATGTATTTTGATGGGCTGTATATGTATCTATTAGGCTGGCACAATTCAAACTGAGCCTTTTTTTTTCAATTAACCATCCAGCAGCAGCTAAAGGGAGACCTTACAGCTCTGCTTCGCATTGATATTGATAGTCTTATCATACTCACAAAGGCAATAATTGGCTGATTTTACCCAAAATGTCAATCAAGGTCAAGGACACCCCCCACCACATCCTTCTTACTTCCTCTTTCTTTTTGGTTTTGTTTTACTCGCTCTTTTGCTTTTAATATTAATCACACTTATAACTAATCAGGGTGGTAATACGTCCCCCTCTTCTTATAAAACCTCAAAATGTGTATTTTTGTTTTGCGGTTGCAGTGAAAACATTGAAAGATCTTAACTCGCTTGGAGACTCTAATATAAGTTTTGTGGGACTACGCTCCCAAATATTCCTCAAAGTGTCCCAAAAGGAGCTGGTGACCAACGTGAACATTTAGTTTTTGTCGTGTTTATTCTCCAAGAATAACACTGTTTCCTCGCAGTTGCTCATAATTAGTAGACTAAAGCCTGAATGCACCGGCCATATTTGGAGTGGAACATCTTATCTTCTCGGTGAGTGGACCTGCTGAGCATCAAGCATCCCGCTGCTCACGACAGCGACAGCAACTCGGAGTCAGTTAGGATGATTTCCTAAAGAGGACTTCCTCTTGTGTATTTCAAAAGAGGTGTTTGTTCTCCTTTTTTTTTATATTGCATCAGTTTTGGACACCTGTTCAACAGTTTGAACAATAAACCAGTTGAGGTTTCTAATTATTTCCTCATTAAAAAAAAAAAACACACAATGCTTTCTGGCCTCCTCTGTTCGTCAACACAACGGAGCTAATTTACACAGAGCTTTATTTACAAGCTGTTGGAAGGACATTGGGTAACTGGTTTGGTGACAATCCGGTGAACTGGCGTCGACCTACGTGGGCTATCTCTGATTGGATGATGGGACTTAAGAGTGCTTGCTGGCAGTGAACGGACACAACTCGGCTATCATGGCCCCCTTTGCTTTCTATGAGCCGCTTACTGTACAAGACACTTAGCAGCGTGCTGGGTGTCCTGATTTAGCAGCCCGACTGCAAGTGAACACACGGTCAACCTGCTCAGGCAAATACCTCAGAAGTACAGATTTAAGTGTCATTGTTTCCGGATTCATTTGTGGTTTTCTCAGAAAGTCCCTCCTCTCTATTTACCGTCCGTGAGTAAGAGATGCTGAATTAATGCTCCTGTGATTGTCAGGTTACATCTGAAGTAAATCATTTAATGAACGATTCTTTTCAGCAGTTGGTGACTTGGTCGAATGGACTTTAGGGCTGCTAAAAGCTACTTTTATCATTTCATAATCTGGTGACTATTTTGATTAGTTGATTATCGTTTTGTCTATAAATGTGGAAAAAGCAGGGCGGGAATGCCAATCACTATCTCCCAGAGCCCACAGTAACATCTTCATGTGTTTTTGTTTTTTGTGTCCAAAACAATCATGCATCAATGATAAAGATAATCTTTGGTTCATGCTCTAGCTGATCCCAGAACCATCATGCGACCGATAAGGTTTCACGAGACGTTTCCTTCACACTTTACTGCAGTAACTCCGTCAGATTTTAATTATGCTTTATACTATAAATGAAGCCCGTGGAAGCTTTATTCGGCACTTGTGTGTATGCATCACCTGAGGTTTATTTAACGCCTCCCTGATGAGAACCAATTGTGACGCGGCAGACCTCGAGCTGCGAAGTGCAACTAACACCTAAACCTGAACTGTGTTCGTCTCAGCTGAGCAAATCTGTCAAACTGCAGTCGCACTGAATCAGCGGAGCCTTGTGAGAGAAGCCCGAATACAAAACCATATCGTCATTTAAGAAAAGATATTAGATATCAGCATTAATAGATACGATTCAACACAGCACCGTCATTTTTTAATATATTACTGATTTAGTCATTTTATTTATTCATTCATTTTTTCTGCACACGCATGCATGAACTGGAAAAAAGTGTAAACTTCACTCATGCCCAAAAATTAAGGATAGAAGATAAAGAAACTTATATAACAATACACTGAATGCACATGGCATGTGTGCACTATAGCTTATTTTAGAAGCCAATAAAATAACTCTTTAGCGTATTCAGAGCAGTTAAAGCACCTTTAGCTAACCTCCAGGAGGCTTCACCTCATAAAGCTGAATGCAAATGATGGTAAATAGCCGAGGCTTCAGTTAAAAACAGCTGCTGTGCCTTCACAAACGGCACCGTGTCAGCATTTTCATGTCGGTGCTAAACCTTAATGTGAAGAAGTGAATGTTGGCATTTAGCTGCTTTTTAGCAGCTAGCTGGTAATAGAGACCCTGTCAGTACATCCTGGGAAAAAAAAGTTGTGATTCCTCGTGTTCGGATGAGACTCGTCCTTCTGTTAGCATGACGAGGTTTGTTTTGTTGCCATGCAACAGATTAAACATTTCCCCAGTTTGAGTTATGTGGATAAACTGTAACCGTGACCACTGACCATGTATACTCTATTTTTCCTCTATCATTTGTTCCTGGTGTATTCCTCCTGGAAGGCTGCCTGTTTACGTCAGAGTGGAAATGCATAAACATGGTGAGACGAGGGCTTAACTCATCCAGAGTGTTTCCACTGCTCAGCTGATGGGACGTGCTCGGATAACTCGGATTTTGCTGCCGTGTCTCTTGTCTGCGTCGAGCCGAAGCTACAGTGTCAACGGGTTATAAGGGCCCGGCATGGTTTCTAAGAGCTGATCAGATCCCAGCCCGGACGAGCGTAAACGCAGCCTGTCCAGTATGTTCTCATTTAGCGAGAGAGAGAGCCGCCCCGAAGGGGACGTCATGAATCAGCCTGACGTTTTCTACCAACTCGGCGTCACCAAAAGGACTCCGGCACGAACCGCCCCCAACAATCGTCCTCCCCGCGCTTTGATGTGTAGCGAAGGAGTCACTGCAGCTGTGTCCGGAGCAGCTGCAAGAATGACCTGCTGTCATTTCTGCTTCTTAAAAGTCACAGAAGACGACTTCTGTAATTACAAAGCAGATGGGCTGTCCAGTGTCTCCTCACTTATACGCCTGTTGTGCGTTTTAATATTGTCTCAAAGGGGAAAATACTGTAGGGAACAATGTCGGACAGCATTTATAGAAACTGATCAGGTATCAGTGGGGACTGAAGAGTAAAGGGTTTTCCACTCTGCTCAAACATAATGGAAAACTCAAAGACACAAAGTGTTCACACTGTGTGATGTCAAAAGTGTATGACACATGCTGAATGTAGTGGAAAGTGGGAGGAAACTCAGCCAAACACTAATACTAATGTTATCTCCATTTTACCAACAGAAGAAACTCTGTTACTGTTGATATTTGATACGTGGCCAAGTTTGATACTAATGTGGAAGTAAAACGAAGAAAGAGTTCTTTAGTTAAGTCACCACCACCACATTCGGCCTGCATGGAGCCTCAAAGGTCATTTCCTTGTTTAAACATACTCTGATCTAATCCACGTCAACTGTGTACATTGAATTAACATAACGCAAAACATTCTCCAACAGCAAAACCACAACTTAATTAATCACACAGTGAAGTCACTTTTTTTTTTTTTTTCAGAAAGGGATGTTTGTTTTGGCACGAGCCCCCTTTTTTTTTCTTTTGGGGGGGGGTTGAGCTCGGTCAAAACTCTGAGGAAATGGAAAAGTGTGATGCCCTTTCAAGGGCAGTTTGGGACAGATCTGAAAATAGCTTCATAACTGTTTGAATGTGACGCTGTTGTTCACATGGCACAGAGAGACTGTTCCCACAATCCTCCACAGCTCTGCTCTGCTTTATGACACCTTCATCATGGACTATTTTATTATCTCAGCCAGGAGGATCATACGATCAGTCCCGTGTATGAGTGAGTGAGTGTGCACCTCTGTGTCTGTCCACGGCTAATCTGCATAATAATTTGGGTGAGCAGAAAGCTTGGTCAGTTTAATTTTGACTTGGCAATATCTTTCAATCTCACAATACAGCTGTGGTTGTTGCAGACACACCTGGTGGAGATCTGAACTCTACTTAAGTGCACCTTTTCTAGTTTCAACTGCAAACTGAAGTGTACACACCAACTGTGCGCCGGGAGCTGCTGGTCGGCTCTAGCGCTTGTGTGCGTAACAGCTTGTGATGAGCTACAGCTTGTGATGAGCTACATGTTGCTGTGCCCGGCTAAACAGAAACAGAGGCCCGTTTCCAGGGAGGAGCCGCTGTGTGGAACATCTGAACAGCTTGTTATTCAGGATACTCCAATGGATTTAGAACTTATGCTGAACACGTGCCTCTTAAAGAATACAGGCCCCGTTTCCCCCTGATCTATTAATGTGTGATCTGTATCTGGATGATGATGACATCTGATCCACAGGCCTTTGCATCTACACCTGGCTGAGATCTGATCAGACGTGAACTGGCAGACCCGATCGCGTTCCGTAAATGGAGTCATAGAGTTAAAATGCTTATGATACTCTACATTGATAAATCATACAATGAATTTTCTTTCTAAGTTGGTGACATTAGATCGCGACATCCTTGGTTTTTGTACTTGTGTGTTTCATTTTTCATGACCATGGTTTGACGTTGTGCCCTGTTGTTGTTTTTCAGGTGAGTGTGCTGACGACCCTGGAGCGGCGGTTCAACCTGCAAAGTGCTGACGTCGGAGTGATAGCCAGCAGCTTCGAGATAGGGAACCTGGCTCTAATCCTGTTTGTCAGCTACTTCGGGGCCAAAGCACATCGGCCCCGTCTGATCGGCTGCGGGGGCATCGTCATGGCGCTCGGCGCCCTTCTCTCGGCTCTGCCCGAGTTTCTAACTAATCCGTATAAGATAGGGGACATGTGGAGGACTGACGCGGGCCGGGACGTTTGCTCCAACACCAGCAGCGCTGAAGCCCAGCGGGCTGAAGACTTTGTGTGCAACAACAGAGCCAACACCAACATGATGTACCTGCTGCTGATTGGAGCCCAGGTCCTGCTGGGGCTCGGAGCCACGCCCGTGCAACCTCTGGGGGTGTCGTACATCGACGATCACGTGAAGAAGAAAGACTCGTCGCTCTATATAGGTGAGCCACATTCCTGAAACTGTGTGACCAAAGTGTTAAAACCCCAGATTATACCTAATCTGTTGGAAAAAGGTAAATACCAAAGTCAGATAGCCAACGGCCTATGCTGAAGGATGGTTTGATAATCTTTAGCTGAATTAAATTGCTGCTGAAGATGAGCAGTGTTCAAGGAAACAGATGATTATCACACTGGAAATTAAAAATCTATTTGCTGCAGCAGACTGATTTCCCAAGGCAACTAAAACTGGTAACGCAGACAGACAGCCATGGGTGTGTTTGTTCATCAGGTGCAATGTTTGCACACTTTAAGTCAACACAGTATATATGTGTGTGTGTGCTCTTCTGCTGCACACCATATGCCTTTTTGTTCCACGAACAGGCCCGATCACGTGAGTGCCAGGTGAGCAAATGTCTGAGCGTTTTAATCTCCATTACGGCCCGTTTCAGTGGCCAGATGCGGGTTAAATGTCTCTGCTTCGCTCAATCCCATCTCAAAGGCGAGATGCTGCTGACGTGGCTTCTTCGAGGTTTAAAGATGCATCCAAAGTGCTTTCTGTGCAAAGTTCTGAATACACAATGGCTGTTTAGGGGATATGTATTTGCTGTGATATGTATATTTTTTCCCATTTCAGTATGCAGAAGGAAGCTTTAATGCGTGGCTTAATGAGGATTTTCACTTCTGTAGCTTTTTTTCTGTGGATCCACGCCGGATATTTCACAGCAACAAACCACCCAGTGAAATATGTTAATGTCACATATAGTCTGCATGGAGAAGAGCAACATATGCAAAATATGTTGGGAAATGCGTTTATTTGCTTTCTTGCAGAGAAAAGATGGACACCACTCTCGAGACAATGAGAGTGCATCAATCTTCTCATCTATCTTTTGGCCACAAAAGCGAATAAGGATTTATAAAAACCTCTTTGCTCTAATGTTGTTGAGTCGAGAAGTTAGCTGCGAAGCCTCAGCCACAAACCCATGGAACAGTATGCTTCCTTGTTTTTGACGGCGACCTGCCTGTTGGTCGTCCAGACGGCCGCACCAGCCTTTGATGGAGTAGATGAGACGCGTCTGCGTAGCGTGTGCTGTTCGTTATCAGCGTGGAGCAGAGACAATGAGAGCCCGAATGGAGGATGAATTCAGGCTGGCACTCACACAGCAGCATGCATGTGTGGCCGCCTTTTGTCACTCAAATACAGGTGTGACCTGCGAAACAAAGGCAGCAGTGTGCTCTGTAATCTCAAGCCCAAAGCTAATTTTCTTAATTGCCGTTCATTGTGTTCATTTGTCCCAAACACATGAGCGCCTTGAGCTTTTGTTTGAAACAATAAATGGCCTGACAAATTGCCACACAAAAAAAAAGGCTTTGACATTTTTTTTGCGCCACTGTAGTGGCTTGTAAGCAGTTTACAGTGGGAAGTGGACTGCGAGTGATTGAAGTTTGGCGGGCATAAGGGAGGCGAGATTTGCTTCTGTCCTCCTCTGATAAGCTGCAAAGAAAGTTGGAGGAAAAGCAAGCGGTGAGCAGCGAGGAACAATGTGGTATTGAGTGGCGCTCAGCTGATCGTTCTAATCCTTCTGCTGCAGGCGTGTCATGTGCCCCCAGCTGCATGAATGGAGTAGATTGTCTGAAATTCTGTGAGATTTCCTTTCACATACTGATAATGTATTTGTTTACGTCAACAAGAAACATTGTGTCTTTGTCCTGGCCAAATATTTCCTGTAGGTTTTGCACAAGTTCAGTCTTATTTTTAATTCACTGTAGATACTCCTGGGAATAAGTCTCGAAACATCACGTCATTATCTAAATGAAGATAAAAGTGAATGTAGCTTTATAGTGGGATTTAAAAAACACGATCCATCCTCCTAGTCGTGTTGTTTTCTCTCTGCAGACGGGTATTGCAGAAGGTTTGAAGGGGAATTTTTTTGGAGTGGTTTGAAGAAGCCGTTAAAGCTAAATTAGAGAGAACACCTTTTGGAATCTTGACAGCAGAAACTTTAATCTGACATGTGTCTCACAACAGCTGCAGACAGATGTGCTGTGTGAGCATGTAGAGTAAAAGCTCCTCTACACGTAGACTCTTGCACAGCTTTACGTGTTAAACCTTTTGCACACACTCAATGGGAGACAGAGTTAAACGCAAAGTATTCACTTCACTTTAATTCTTTAATTCCCTTTAATTATCTGATATCACATAAGCTCAGCCCAAGGTGAAGAACATCATGATGAACCCAGATACATGACACCAAAGTGTAATTGAAACTGCTATTTGTCCCGCAGACAACTGTCGCCTGCTGCTGTTGTCTGTGCCCATTTTTCCCCGGTGACGTGTTATTGTTAAAATTAGAGGCTGAGCCAAATGGCCAGGTGGAAAGTGTGTTGCCTGTTTGGCAGAGGCGAACCCCGCCCTGTACGAGTACGGCGGTGCAGGAGGAGCCGAGCCGGGTAGGCCTGGAGAGGAGCCATAATTACAGAGGGAGTGCAGGAATGCCAACCAGCCAGCCATGAGGTGGGTCCGAGTGGGCCGGGCCGCACATGCATACCACACAGGCCTGTGAAAAACAACTCCTCCAGAGGCTTCGCTGCCTTCCCTGTGTATACTGCAGTAGACAGGCTTACTGCTGTTTAAACAGCTGTAAAACACACTCTGGCAAAAGTTTGTCTGCGACTCTTTCGAGAGCTTTTTGTCTCCGTCTGGTTGACATATGTTCACTGTCGCGGTTAAGAATTTGTTTCGGAGCTTGTGCATGCTACGTGGCACATCTTCTTAAAAGGAAGCGCTTCAGCGTTTGAATGCCATCACCAAGTAGAGTTAAACGTAAACACATGTATTTGTGTGGCACGTTGTTGTTTTGGTTTGTTTCCCCGAGACGTAGGCACTGGTCTCTGGCCTAAGGAAGTAAATATGATTGGACAGATTGCATCAACAGGATCTCTATTCCCACTGCTCTGTGACCTTTCACTATCCACTGCTAATTCTGTCTCTTCCCACAGGACCCCTGCATAAATATACTGTATCGGACACACACACACACACACACAGACAGGTTTAGAGCCGGCGTCGTGTATCCGAAAGCACAGACTCCACCCTCCTGTTTCAGAAGCTTTTAAACAGCTTGGGATCTGGTCATTAAAATATAATGTACAGTGTGTAGTGCCTGTGGTAAAGTACATATACTGTATATGGTTGGGGGGGGCTGAAAGTATGACATTAATTAATTCATCGGTGTCGATACTTTTTATGCAAAATCCCACAGATTTGGACATGTGGACGTCGCTTGTTGTATAAGAAATGCATGATCAGATTCAAAAGAGTGCTAATGGAGAAGCACAATTAAAGTGCAATTTTCTAATTCAGCTTCTTGTGCTGGCAGAAGTGACACAGTTGCTGAAGTTTTTTATAACAAAGTTTAAAGTATGAGTTGCTTCTTTGTATGCCTCCGCGCCAGCAGAAGATGTCGCCGGAGGCATCGTGTTTTTAAGTTGCCCTTCCATATGGAAAAAAAAAAAAAAAAAAAAACATACCCACGAACAAGACAGCTCAGGAACACCTGGAGGGAACTTCTCCAAATTTGGCAGTAACATCTACTTGAACTCAAGGTTGAACCGATTGGAATTTGTTGGTCAAAGGTCGTTGTGACTTGACAAAACACATTTTGGGGCATAACTCAATAATTCATATGCTAATAACTACAGTATGACAAATGACTCACAACCGTGAGGCGGTAATTCTAGTTTGATTCGGCTACAGCGTTGTAAGTTAACATTGTACTGTAAGTATGTCCTGTGCTCACATGGTAGCTGCTAGGGAAGTCTGTATGTACACACTGTGGTGTTTTAAGCTAAATGCTAATGTTAGCAGCCTAAAAGGCTCGTGATGGCAACGTTAACATGCTGATTTGTAGCCAATCATTTTTACCATCTTGGTAATACCCTAGATAACACATTTTCTTTATGCTAAATATGGCTCTTAGCTGTGTAAATATCTAATGTTGGCAACAGAAAATACAAAGACACAATGCAAATACAACCCAACCTGCTTTTGTCCCTCCAAACCAGGTGGACATGACCACACCCACTCAAGAGACAGGAAGTGTTTACAATTTCAACTCATTGGCAGAGCTTGTAAACATCTTTGTTTGACATGATGAATGTTATTCTTCATTCTTCAATGCCACAGATAACGAAAGCTGTCTTTAACTTGTAACAGTGTGTTACATTGTGTCCAATGTTGGTTCGGGGCTCAGCTGTCAAGCTAACACGTTCACCAGTCGGAGGCCCAAATGCTAAAGGAGCATTTATATTTCCCCAAAGAGCCTTTTCTCTTCATTTCTATAATACATATTTTTTTTAACAACCGAATTTAAAGCCAATGTCACTTGATTTTTGACTGCGAAGAGATGATGATTAATTTTGATTCCAGTTGACTTTATGCACCAATGTCACACAGCAGCCAAAAGTATCAAGTGCTCTCTCTCTCTTTCCGTCTCTCGCTCTCACTCTCTCTCTGTCTCTCTTTGTCTGTCTGTGTCCCTCTCTTTGTCTCTTTGTCTGTCTCTCTCTGTCTCTCTCTCTTTGTCTCTGTCTCTCTCTCTGTTTCTGTCTCACTCTCTTTGTCTCTCTTTCTGTCTTGCTCTGTCTCTCACTGTCTCTCTCTCTCAGTCCAACTAGGAATGACAGACTAGCTGTGGGTAACACAAAGGGCTCTTTTTCACTTGTGGTCTGAGACAAGATAACTGCCTCTACCTGGAGAGCAGAAGCATAAAGAAATGCCTTTCATATCTGTATTTTGCTGCCAAACACTGGTTTGTATGCCATTGTCAGGCCCTAGCCCGGTGTATTTTATTTTGTACGTATTCAAGCAATTCCCTGATGATATATTGCAAAATCTGTGTTCACTTCAGCTCTGCAGGGATAAATGTAGCTTCAGGTTTGTCCGGTAAACTTATTGCAGTGACAATGGTCTCCGAGGGATCCTCGAGAGACTTGTCAACATTCC